ACAAACAAACAAACAAACAAACAAACAAACAAACAAACAAACAAACATTTGGCCACTGTCTTGATAGACTCTTCCTGTCCTTCAGTGACTTACTGATGAACTTACTTCCAGGTCTAAGTATATAGGTGTGTCAAGATAAGCTGAGATTGGCTAGGTGCTGCGATCTGCTGGATAAATACTAGTCAAGTCCACTTCACATAGGCTCACTCAAGGCAAGTGTTCTACTGAAGCACTTGTTTTAAGTGATAATAAATTGGTAATCACAAGATTTTTCACTGCTCTTGAAGGCACAGGTGGTTAAGAATGGCATCTAGGCTAGTAAATAGCCTCTGGAAGGAGGTACAGAAATCTCCAACTCTTTCCTGCACACTAGTATAAAGTTTTGCAAGCTAAAACTTGGGTGGGAAGGATGGAAACAGCTTATGTGGCTGTTTCACCTGTTTGACCTCATTAACTGTGAAGACAATTGAAAGTTAAGGACTCCTTGCCTGTAATCTTAAAACACATCAGCAGAATTGGGAAGGATGGTTAAATGATAATTCTGAAGACTGAATGAAATTGGCTCAAAAGTCACTGTAACAGTAAGATGGGGAGCATATAAATTTAATAATAAAAAACAAAAACAAAAACAAAACCCCTATTGATGTTTTTTACTGACAAGGAACAAAGTTTAGACTCCCACAGACCACAAAATTCTCACCCCATGGAAGTTGCTTTTTAGTGCAGTGAAATCCGAGTATGAGCCATAAATGGTGAAGGGTCCAAAGAATCTTGTCAGCCATTGTTTGTCTGTGGAGATCTCCTGTGCACAAGCAGATTCTATGGCAAAGAGAAAGCAGTCAGGAATCCAGATGCTTGCGGAAACAACTACTTATCATACCAGGTTATCACTAACATCCAACTTGTCAGATGGTGTTCGATTTCAGCTTCCACACTTGTCTAGCTGGCTAGCAAAGCATGTTGAAAATTGAAGTGCAAAATATTTGTTACCTAAGAATAAATCCTAAAGTTAGGAAAGCTACAGCTGGACAAAAACTTCTGAAAGTGCTTAAGGGCAGAGCCTTTAGTAGATTGGAACACAGCTTCTGTGCTACAGCTACAGAAGGAATTTGTCTGCTAGGCATTAACCTATACCAAGGATGTGTTAGATTAATTTTGGTAATTTCAACTCTCAGTATTCTGTTGCCAGAAAGGTCATTTCTGAGAATTGAAGCTCACTAAAGACATAAACTAGAAATCCTAGTACTCTTCCCTAACCATTGTAAGATAGATTAAGATAGAATGACTGCTCACAGTTCTGATCAAGCAACCTCTGAATGCTGTTGCTCAAATTAACTTGCCTCTAACTGCCCCATTGCCCATTCCAGCTTTAACCCAGCATTGGATTCAGAGAAAGCAGTCAACCAGCTCCTCTTTCCAGATGCTGACCTTGCCTTGTACCCCTTTGCTAAAGAAAAGATTTAGATATTTCTCAAAATAGAAGATCTTTCAAATGGGCTTTGCCTCCTTACATCAACCCATCTCACTCAATCAGGCAGGGAAGATATACTACAGACCCCATCAGTCAAATAATTTCAACTAAGCAGGGGCTAGGAAGAGAACCTTCTTTGCTGTTGCCTCTGCATTAAGGAAACATCTTGTCCCCAGAGATGAAGTGAGCCTCCACTCTGCTGGTCTTCCTCAAGTGGGTCAAAACATGGCTGTGCAGCCTTGGGAAGGGGGGGGGGGGATAGAGGACCATAGAATTGGGGGGGGGGGCTGGCAGGCCCTGTGAGAACCACCCACACCTGTATGAACCATCACTAAATGTCCATCTTGGAACTTTTTACCTTTCTGAAATTTTATATTATTATATTTTCTAGTTTAAAATGCTTAATCTTAAATTAATTTTATTATTTTAATGTTAATGTTATATTATAGGAAGGCCATCCCCTCCCAAGATTAAAATATTCTTTAGTCTTAATATTAAAAAGAGGCAGGATAGAATATTTCCCCTAAAGGAGAAATGGAGAAAAATCTTAACAAAGGCAGAAAGCAGCCCTAATCTTCCTGCCACAGGAAAACAGCCTCAAGCAGAAACTTGAGAAACAGGTTAATCTCTAGAAATGGAGATTTTGTAGTGGGCCAATCTATTCAAAAAAGAACACAATAGGCAAGCGGAAGCTGACAAGATTAGCTCAGACCTAGGATTTGCATTTCCCCAGCCATATAGGAAACTGGCAACAGCCATTAAAATATTGAAGGACATATTCTTGCACAGGAACAGGCGTATTAATCACAAAGCCCCAAAGAATGCAAAAAAGCCCACCTACCTCAACCCCATTTTGTCAGCTACCTCAGAAACATGCTGCTGTCACTAAAGTTTCTGAGTACCAAATAAACTGAGACCTTCTTTCCTGCAGCCTGCCTCCATTTTATTTCCAGCATGGAAACCAGACCAGATTTTTCATCAAACAATATGTTGTATATAAATTGAGTACATAGTGCCCACAGCCCCTATCTGAAGGATATCGATGGTTAAAAAACAGGAAAAAATAATTAATTTCTTCAGGAAGTAAGAGTTAAAATATGCAAAACATTTGGGGCATAAACCTTTTGGCACATCTGGTTAGATTTATTTGATGTTTGGGTTATCTTTTTTTCTTTTTTGTACACTTTTTGTTTTGTTATGTAGGAAGTTATCACCCAGCCCTCTTCCAGAAAAATGAAATATCCTAGGAAATATTGAAAAGGCAGAATATTTCTCTGNTAAAAGTACACTTAATTCTAAGAATGGAGTTGAGTGGTTTCTTTCCTGATTATTAAATGAAGGAGCACCTGACACAGCCTTTGCCCTGCATTCTTTACTATGTTTTAGAGCATGGCCTTCAGCATACCACTCAGAAGTCAAATGTGGTGCTCTCAAAAATAATTATTGTAATTAGTACTTAGCAATAGTACTTAGATGCCACTTCATAGTGCTTTATAGCCCTCTCTAAGTGGTTTACAGAGTCAGCATATTGCCCCCAAAAATTTGGCTCATAATTTACCCACCTTGGAAAGATGGAAGGCTGAAGGGAGGGAACCTTGAGCCTGGTGAGATTTGAATTACCACATTGCAGGCAGTCAACAGTCAGTAGAAGTTGCCTGCAGTACTGCACTCTAACCACTGTGGCCCCGTGGCTCATAATTAAATATTCTCTTTTTTGATATTTAATACTCTTTTCCCACTATCATTTTTAAAAATGGCAACAATTTTCTGTGATTTCTGTTTTTAATTATGAGAAATAGAGTGAAGTGACGCCAGAAGTGGCTTGCAATGAAAGCCCCCCACCCCCCATCTGTAAAATTGAAGCTCCAATCCTTTTTTTAAATGTTCTGTGATGAATGCAAAAGATTCCATTCTCTCATTTTGACCATCCCATTGCCAGCTCGAGTAATAAACTTTGGTGGATGTGCCTAATCAATTTTTTCCCCCACAAAAGCAACAGTCAGTTCAAAAGAAGAAAGCTGATGCCTTTATTTCCTATCTTGTTTGGGAGTGACTCTACTCTGACATTTTTGCTTGCAAAACAAGGGCTCAATTGGTCAAGAAAAGCACACCAGACCAATTTGGATGAATGTGAAAATTAAATTATTATTTTTGTAATCACTCTTTTCAGGATTTTGTGATATTGTTTCAAAAATATTAATTCCACTTTTATTAAATATTACATGTGAGGGAGGCTTCCTCTTGAAGTGCAGGGTGAAAACACTGACATGAGCAAAAAGGATTGATGATGTACATCATCAATCAAGAGATCTGCCTCTCCTAAATTAAACACTCTGAAGTTTCCAGGGTTTAAAGAGATTCAAGCCATGGTCATTGCGTACTTACACTGCTTGGAAATATGGACAGGACATGTCCAGTGGCAGCAATTCCAGCATGGTTCCATTGATACCTGGCAGCAAGATGTTGAGTCTTTCTAGCCACCCAGCCATGTCTTTCAAAGAAAGAGCTGACACTTGGGGAAAGTTGATCTCTGCTGACAGCATCATCAGGGCATCCCTGATATTGATGTTGCTTAGCAAATCATGATTCTAGAGAAAAAAGCAGGAGAGAGCAGAAGCTGATGGTATATTTGTTCAAGATAGGCAATATATTTAGGGTAGGGAGAGAGATCAGTGAAAGATTTAATCCAATTTCCCACTGTAATTTCCCACATTGTAAACCAATGAAAAATTTGGTGAGTTTTGAATATTTCGAAGAAATTATTAGCTAGAGAACAAATAGGCCTAAAAAGTAGAGGGAAATTGGCCAAAAGGAAGGATAGGCAATTTGATACCAAAATTAACATAACTTTTCCCCAGCATACTTTCGAGCTTTTTTAACTTCCAAGAACATTTCCCTCTAGCTGAATTCCTGACCATTAGTGATAAAAGAATATCAGTGGATGCTAGCTTGTTTAAAGCATCAGATTTATTCCTAAGAATGCTTTTGGCTTCCATGTAGGCTCTACAAGGATTCTTAGAAAAGCAAAACAGCAAAGGGACCAATATGTGATTAGAGACTATGCCTATCTCCCTCCGCCCAAAGTCTAAGGTAAGCTGGGTGGCAGAAGACATTTTTAGAGGGCTTGATGGTGGGATCAGCAAGAGAGGGACAAATCGGGCAAGAAAGGCCTGCAATCAAAGCCCCACCTCTAAGCTATGTGACAGTCACAGCATCGTTGTCCTTGCTTCTGCACTGATGCCATGACTAGTGTTTTATCTATTTTAACACAAACACACCACCTCCAGGCACCCCTCTGTGTCTAGAACCTTTCCTGACCTTCATTACAAAGGAGTTGAACTCATCCAAATAAATGCCAAGGAACTGGTTTGCATCTGCTTTCTTCTTGATAGTCTGGAACACGTGCTTCATGGCTGAAGTGCTGTAGACGGTATGGCTTTGAACTGACAGCTCCGCCAAGGCTCTTGCAGAGAACAACTCCAAGGAATCTGACTATATTTAGAAAATCAGAACAAGGTGTAGTTGAAAGTGAGGTGGTGCTCAGGCTTGGAATCTTGTTAGCCCTACAAGTTAGACAGACTAAGAAACCAATGCCATATAGTGCAGGACTACTTTAATTGTAAAGCTATATAGTAACAGCATTTTGCACTCTGAATGTGTTTGCCCCCTCCCATTTTTCTTCATGTAGTCTAGGGAGAGGCTTGTCTGACATTTCTTGGTGTGGGCTCAAGTCTGCTTATTATACCAATAATAAACCCTAAAGCAAACTAGCGTTGACGGACAACTTCCCCTCCCCCTGGAAACAAGCGTTAGATCACAAGCTGGGCTCTTATGGGCTCTCACTGGTATTCTTAATGTCCTTAGGCTTCAACCAAGCAAAGCAAGTAGTAATCAATAGAATGAAGGATATGGAGTTCTAAGAAGAACTAAATAGGTTGCCTCTCCACAGTAGGGACAGAATCAAACAGGGTGCATGGGAATTGCCAAGATAGCTACATAAATGATCTGATCTTCCCAAAACAAAGAATAGCTTTCTTCAGAACTAGATTTAACATTCTCCCCTCAGCACTCCTCCAGGGCAGGAAAAAGAGAACACCAATAGCATAATGGGTGTGTATATAGCAATAGCAGTTAGACTTATATACCGCTTCATAGGGCTTTCAGCCCTCTCTAAACGGTTTACAGAGTCAGCATATTGCCCCCAACAACAATCCAGGTTCTCATTTTACCCATCTC